GCCACCGCTAGGGCCGCACACTCGGGGGTGTGGAGGACGCGCAGGGCGCACACTCACCGCGGCGGCCCTTGCCCCTGTAGGCGCACAGCAGCTCCGGGTTGATGCGGTGCCGCAGCAGGAACTCGCAGCACAGCTCCTCCAGCTGCTGCTGCCGCCGGCTCGCCCTGCTCGTCCCGCTGGTCCTGCTCGCCGCCTCGTCCCGCTCACCATCCTCGCCGCCCTCGCAGTCGGAGCAGCTGCTGCTGCAGGAGCGCGCCGCCGGGTCGGAGTGGCTCGTCGTCCTGCTGGAGCTGGTCGTCGTCGTGGTGGACGTCCTGCAACAGCAATGCATGAGGAGCCGCCTACACAGCACGCGCGCTCTTTGGAGAATGTTGAAGCTATGGCTTGCCACAAATGGACGAGGTCTACCTACAAGTAGAAAGGGTTGGCTTACCTCTCCGCGTCCGCTTGGGCGCGCTGGGCCGCCAGTCGCACCTGGGGGGTGGCCTCCTCGTACACCTTGTCCGGGGGCAGGTAGGGGCCGGGCACCGTCATGGCTACACGACGCGAGGGTGCAGGTGCGGGGCCGGCCCACCTTCAGGCCCGCCGCCCCCAGCCCCCTCTCACTTCCTCCTCTTCCTCCGCATGACCCTGGTGTTCGGGGTGTCCTGTCCTGCAAAACGAGGAAGCGAATCGACTGTTACTTGAGGAAACATTGAACGCACCCCAAATCAAAATGTGTTTTCTGTCTGTGGCGCGCGGCAAGAGGCGCGTTGAAAATACTTGGAAACGAACAGCTCGTTCCAGCTTATTTTGTGTTATTTAGTAAGCGGCTCGGAAATAGAGTGATTACATCCGCGGTGGCACGGCGCGGCGCGCGGCGACCGCAGAGCAGGCCGAGCTGGCTGTCGGCGCGGACCCCTCCGCGGAACTCCGTGGTGGGGAGCGCTGCGCCCGGCCGCGCCGCGCCACGTCCCATCCGCGTCGTTAATGCCGTTCCAAACACGCATTCTTGCAGCACTGGGGTGTTTGTTTTGTGGATGTGATGAGGGAATTACACCGAGCCGCCACGCCGCACTATATCTGATGTATTCTATTTACTTTTTCTCACCGGGGCGGGCGGGGCTCGGCTGATGCAGCGGGGGCCGCGATGGCCTGTCGCAGATACGCGACTGGGTCGGCGGCGCGTAGGGAGCACCATGTGAGGACAACGAACATCATTCATTTGATGCATGGAACGAAAGGCTATATATTTTCATGTCTCCTCATTCCATAATATTCAACGTTTCAGCGCTCGTTAAACCTCCCTAATGCTCTAGTCACACATGTTGAAAACAATACACCCTTAGAGAGCGGACCGGTGACATCCAGGGCAAGGGTTGTGAGAAAAGAATAGGAGTGATTTTCAAGAAACAGAATTTACCTACGAAGTGCATTACACCACCCGCGGTCTCAGGTGCACCGCCCTTGTATTCTGTTCGCACGCGCCCTTTTAAAAACTGGCCTGCCGGCCGGTAACGAGACAGTCCGGCTCCGAAAGCAAATTCAAAATATACAGGCGCTAAGGCTTCTATTTTTAAATTCAATAAGGCATCAAAATAAGACTGAAAACCTTCTTATCAAAACCGGAACTATAATCGGCAATATCCGACAACGGCAACCTTTATCAAAACGGGATACCTTCACCTTACCCAGGAGCGCTTTTTCATGTTACGGAAAGCTGTGGTTAATTATCAAAAACAACGAAAACCAGCAAATTATGCTAGAATCACCATTCAAATTTTGCTGGATTCGTAATTTCTGCGCGCGCGAAAACAAGCACATTTCATATTTCAGAGCGCTGTG